AAAACTTCAATGTAGTCCACATAAATGCACAGAGTATTCCGGCTCATTATCCCGATATGTTAGCTAGTTTTGAAAGTGATAATGTTCACGCAATTCTCGTTTCAGAGTCATGGTTAAAGCCATGTCTTCCTTCTATATCCTATTCCATTCCAGGATTCCAGTTAATACGCAACGACCGAACTGCGCGAGGTGGTGGTGGTGTTGCCATTTACATTCGTGCTCATATTCCTTTTTCTATTGTTTGTTTATCATCTCCATCTCAAGCTGAGAACGAAGCAGAATACTTATTTGTTGAAGTACTTCTTTCGCACAACAAATTACTTCTCGGAGTTTTTTATAGTCCCTCTTCCACAGTGGACTATTTTACTACTTTGGATAACCTTCTTGAAGAGTTAACTCCATTATATACACATACAGTGCTAATGGGCGACTTTAATACTTGTCTTCTCAAGAATGATGCCCGATCTCTCCGGCTTAAGTCCCTTATAGAAGCAGCCAATTTAAATATCCTTCCTCTCTCTGAAACTCATTTTTTCCCTAACTGTATCCCATCCCTCCTTGATTTGGTTATCGTTTCTTCTCTTGACCATGTTGATAGTTTTGGTCAATGTGCTGCAAATGCTTTTTCGTATCATGATCTCCTGTTTCTATCTTATAAAATAAGACCACCCAAAGCCAAATCAAGGATACTTCTGCAGCGTAATTTTGAGAAAATGGATTTGGATAAGCTTCAAAAAGACGCTGCTAATATGGACTGGAGCGTTATAATGAAGGCTTGTGATGTTGACGAACAGGTAGCATTGTTTAATTCACTTCTTGTTCAACTTTATGATGCTCATGCTCCTGTCCGCCCAGTGCGAATACGTCATCCTCCAGCTCCGTGGTTGACCGAAGATCTTAAAAGATTAATCTGCAGGAAGAATAGTGCAAAGTCGAGTTACAAGTCAGATCCTAAGAATGACAGGATTCGGGAGAAGTACAGACTCCTACGAAATCAATGCAACAAGATGTGTAGAGATTTACGACGCCGCCACATCCATAAATCAGTACAAAACGAAGATCCATGTCGTATTTGGAACTTCTTAAGGTCTATTGGAGTTGGGAAAACTCGTTCATGTCCTATTCCAAATAACGTGGATTTAAATTTGCTTAATCAGCATTTTTCTTCCGTTTCTTGCCTGAACAATATGGCAAAATCAGCAACACTTACTCAACTTTCATCGTTTCCCACTCCTGACTTTTCTCCATTTGTGTTTAGGCAATTTGCAGATTGTGATGTTAGGAAACACATACTCTCTATCCATTCCGACGCTGTCGGAAGTGACGACGTCAGTCGTAAAATGATCATTCCCCTGTTGGACTTTTTAACACCTATTATAACCCATATCTTAAACTTTTCCATATCCTCATCTTCTTTCCCTTCCCAATGGAAGGACGCTCAAATCATACCTTTACCTAAGAAAACAAATCCTTCAAGTTTTTCTGAATATCGTCCTATTTCAATTCTTCCTTTCCTTTCCAAAGTTTTAGAACGCCTTGTCCAACAACAAATTAATTCCTTTTGTTTAAGAAATAGCATCCTTAGTCCTCTCCAATCTGGCTTTAGATCTGGTCATAGTACGACTACGGCGTTATTAAAAATCACCGACGACATTCGTCACGGTATGGAGAATCATCAAGTCACAGTATTGGTGTTGCTGGATTTCAGCAATGCCTTCAATACTGTTGATCATGATATCCTGTTAGGGATTCTGCGTTCTCTTAACATATCTCCAACTGCAATTTCCTGGTTTCATAGTTATTTGCACGGGCGCCGGCAACGTATTCGTGTCCAAGATAGACTTTCTTCGTGGCTTGATACCGTAGCTGGCGTTCCACAAGGTGGTGTCTTATCTCCTCTTTTATTCGCAATCTTTATTAATACGATTACATCCCAAATATCTTCTCTCTACCACTTGTATGCAGATGACCTTCAAATATATTTACAAACAACCATCGAAGACCTTGCCAAAGCTGTTGAATGTATCAACAAGGATCTGGCTTTTATTCTCGACTGGACACGATCTTATGGGTTGACGGTTAACCCTTCAAAATCGCAAGCTATAATTATTGGGAGTTCAAGAACTATTTCCAAAATTAAAAAATGTCAAATTCAACCCGTTGTATTTAATGGTATTCTTATTCCATATAATGAAGTAGTTAAAAATTTAGGTATCTTTTTGGATTCCAGTCTGTCTTGGACACCCCAAATTAATGCAGTGAGCCGAAAAATTTTTGCGGCTTATGCTTCACTCCGAAGGCTTAACTACTTTTTACCCATTTCCACCAAAATTACGCTTGCACAATCTTTGCTACTCCCTATCCTCGACTATGCTGACATTTGTTACCTTGATATCACCGAGGAGCAACTTAATAAACTTGAGCGACTCCAAAATCTCTGTATACGGTTCATATTTGGGCTTCGTAAATATGACCATGTCTCTGAATACCGCACTAAACTCAAGTGGCTCCCAATCCGTCTTCGTCGGAATACTCATATACTTTCTGCGCTCTACTGCGTCTTATTTAATGTATCAAGTCTTCCCTATCTGAAAGAACGTTTTAAATTTCTTAGCTCTTGTCACGATTTTTCCTTACGGTCCAAAGAAAACCTTTCGCTCCAATGTTCTCTACACTCCTCGTCATTTTATGATAAATCTTTTGCTGTTCTTGGAGTAAGACTCTGGAACTCCTCACCCCAGTCCATTAAAAGTGCTCAGTCTTTAAATGTGTTCAAGAAACAAATTAAGGAACACTATTTGTCACTTTAACTCCTCTCTCTTTCTCCTCTTAGTTATGGTCACTAATATACCTTAAGTATGTTGTCATTATATAGTATATAAGTTATATTTTTTTTTTTTGTCTAATTTAGTGCACCCTACCCATTATTTTTATTTTTATTTATTTCCTCTTCTGGGTTGTCTGGAAGAGATTGCTATGTAGCAATAAGACCGCCTTTTGTTTATCCCTCATTATTCTTTTTATTATTTATTAATGTTTTGTTGGTGTACAATAAAGAGTATTGTATTGTATATATATATATATATATCAATAATGTCACACCAGCCAAGTTACATTTTAAGCGACTAGTGAGAGGAAACACAAATGGATTTGATGATGGAACTCTCGTGTAGTTGCACAATCCTCTTTAAAAAAAGGGAAAGAGCCCCAGATTGCAATCTCGATGGGAAGGAACTTACAAGATATAAAGGATGAATGATGTCACATACCGCATCAAGAAAGGGCGAAGAAGCAAACCAAAGTTAGTACGCATTGATTGACTAGCACGATATCACGGCACGAATGATGATCAGCACGATCATATTCAGATCTAGGAGGGGTAATGTTACGATAGCCACAGGGGTAGTGTGATTTAAACACAATGAAACGAAAAAGCGGCATTAAAATGAGACAACTAGATCCATAGGACAGGCTCACGAGAGAATAAGATAGAATCTATGCTATAATATAATTAATAATGCGGAAGAGGTGTTTTGTTTGTTTAAACACGCTAGTCTCTGAGACTGCCAGTCCGTTTTGTTAAATTCTTACCTAAATGTTACTACTACTACTACTACTATACTAATTCTAGCCTTAAATACTGATTATTGTCAAGCAAGTCCGCGATACCATAAGTCTATTTCTTAATGCATAATGCGGAAACGGATGGTCACTAAATGGTTAGGGTGACTAGGTTGCCTAGGTTGTTAGGAGAGAAGGAACCACAAAATGGTTGTTTGGAGCTTTGTATCTTTGCTAGGACCTAATTTACTGTATCAGCTGGCAGGGTCAGGAGCATGAGCTGATGTGATAAAATAACAAGTGAGAACATCTCAAAATGGGAAATGCACTTACTTGGGCGTTGATCTTTTGATTGCCTCCTACTCAGGTCTCGATGTTGATGATGCTACGTTGCAGCTGCGGTGGTGTGCGACGAAAAATTATTCGCACTAGTACACGACGATAATACACCTGCGCTGGCGGTCACTACTAAGTTGTTCTGTGGCCAACTGCCACAGAGGTGCTATCTTATCCAAGGTCTAGCTTCAACTGCTCGAGCGGCCGCGGTACGTTGACAACTCTGGTAGGCCGGTGGCGTGTTTTTCGACCTTTCACTTTCGGCCAGCACGCCTCATTGGTCGCGCAAATCACGCCACCATGTCTAGCCTTCTATTGGACATGCCCGTGCAGGAAGGAAGCGGAAGTGAAGAGGAAGGAAATACTGCCAGCTAATATAGTCAGCTAAATGTGCGTTTTGGCGCAACCAGTAACATTTAGTTGCTATAAAATTAAACTTTTATCTTAGATTTTACCGCACTTTTGGTTTAAAATTATTAAATTAAATAAATCTTTTGCTGTGAAATATTTTTATTTCATTTTATTAGAAGGTTTTACCGCGTATTAAGTGCACAAGCCTTTTTTCTTTAGTAATTATTTATTTTAGTTAGTATAATATTTTAATTATGATACATTATGTCTGATATTTGAGGACCCCTCTTCGGGTAATGGCCTCCTCCAGAACTTCCCATGCCTGTTTAACCAAAGCCATCTAGGGTTTCCCCACTATAGCCAACCCGTATCGACCTGTCTTTATTTTGTGTCTCGTTCTTTTAAATGATATTTGTTTACCGAAATACACATATTCAAAATTTCGTTCACAATTAAAGGTGTTTAGGCGCTATTCTTCGTTACTTTAAATTTAGTGTTAAATTCTAAACCTACAATTGGACTGGCGGCTATTCGATATTTTTTAACTTACCGTCGACTGCAGAAACGATTATGTGGAAATTGCTTAATTTTTTGTGTTTCAAGTCAGTTTTACTTTTTATTAAAAAAAATTAATTCTCAGTGAAAGTGAATTTGCGAGTTTTACATATCGAAAAAAAATTTCAGTTTATTAAAACGCTTTTAAGCCCAATTCATCTTAAGAATAAAATTTATTTTTTGTAGAGTAAAATTACCTGCTCTGAAAGAATCGGACTTCTTGGGAATAATAACTGGTTTTTGGCAACGTCTCAAATTCGGCACGCGTCCACGAGTACTAGAAACAAAAAATACTTCTGAATACATAAAATTGGTAATTTGAAGTGAAACAAAGAAATAAATTATGTACGTGCAGGAAGTAAAGTACCTTTGCAAAAATAAGTGATAATCATTCTGTAAATACTAGGATCAGACACAAGCTAGTAGTACCAGTAACTCGACTCCACCGAGTCAGTAATTCATTCTTGGGGCAATGCATATACGCTGTTACAAAATCCCAGAAAATAAACAAAATTTGACATACACAATGATGAAAAACTTTATTAAACTAAGTTTGAATTAAAAGGGTTATTGTAATATGAAGGAATTTATGGATGATAATAACCCCTGGGAAGGGTATCACTACTAAGCTATTTCTAATTATTTGTTTTGTGTTATTAATTGTGAATTTGTAAACATATATGATTGTAAGCTCTTATTTAAAAAAAATATAATCCCGCTAGGTTTCTTGCTGATTATTCCCAGGACAGAGGTTTTTTGCGAACCAGTGGTAATGAAAAAAAGTGACTTTTCAATAAGTCCATAGTCCAAGTTCCATACTGAATAAAAAAGTTTCTTCTGTTTCATACAAATATTTTTCATATTTAGCGCCTGCAAGTTTGTCAGAGCTGTTTCAAGCATATGATAATAAGATATTATTACATTTTTTAAGAGTAAGTGTAACAAACTAGCATACAGACCATGTGATTGATAGTGGATACTGTGGCCCGAGGATACTACATTCATCATCAATTTCGAATTAATATTTAAATGTTGTGTCACCCCTGAGAAGAACTAAGATAGGATGCCTCATTACCAGTAAAAAGAGTCCCCGTTTCTTTACACTCACCATATTAAACACAGCAGAAATATGCTGATTTTTTCTAAAATCGTGGTCGTTCCCCATTCGACACGAGCCAATCAAGCTGCACCCACAATACAACTGCAGCTTGGCCTACCACATATAATACCATAATATGTATGTTACCCATTTTTATGGTATGTATTTTTATCTGTGGTAAATGCGATAAAATACGCAAAGAGATACAACACCTCTTCGCAGTGCCAGTGAGTCAAGCCAATCGGAAAGAGCTCGGTCGCCGACGATTCGAACGGCTCTGCGCTGAATGCCTTCCCTTCCAAGTAACCATGAAACTGCACGTCACTCGATTTGAAAAATAAAAATATATGTGTAAGAACTAATACGAAAACGTACTTTTTTACAGAAAATTCGAAAAAACTGAGTTTTCATCATGAATTTTGATAACCCTGGCGCAAATACCAAGGGAATCAATACAAATGGAATCAAAATAATAATATAATAATAAATAATCGATAAAAACAATACGTTTTAAATAATAACAATGAAATAGATAAATAATGATCATTAAAGTTGTTCTACTACTACGACTACAAATCCTTAAAACTCAAATTACATTTTTAAACATGGTCAGGGTAATCAACGACCTAGCCAAACAAAACCAGGGGAATCATATCTTTACCTTCGTGATTTCGTCGCGGCGCAATATTTCACAAATACGTTCGAAGCGCTGCTAGCAGCCCTCATGCGACGACGCGGACGCACTCGTCTAGAACATTATAGAGATGTATGTATATACGTAGTTTTGTGACGCGCCACGGGAATCACTGTTTAGTCTCGGATAAACTTAATATTTTAATTCTTAATTAAACTGTCATAAATACACACAGGGTGGATGTTTTATATCGAGGAAACGAGAACAGAAGACTGCATAGCATTGAGATTATTTTAAAGTAAGGCTGTTTTATATTAGGGTTCCGCTATCATTAAGAAACTTTTGTTCACTGTATTACTTATGGTATGCGAGCAGCGATTCAGGTTTTGCACGACCAGAATGATATGGGATGAGTATGATTTATTGTAATCGCTAATTTGCAGGAATTGCTGAGCTGTACGTCGTTTGCGCTCGGTAAATAACTCTTCAAAATTCGTTCAAATTGAGATCTTTTTGATCTATCTCATACAAGCTTGTTCGGACCTGCGATCTGTTCAGTGCTCACAACACTCGAATATCCCGGATCTCATCTCTATGCGACCCTGTTGTTATACTCCAGGGCGTTTAAGCAGTTCACCCAGACCGTACTAGTTATGAGGTCACTAAGTAAGAACATAGGGCTAGTATCGCAACTTGACTTTCAGGATTTATGTATTTATATAACATAAAGGTTGAGATCCTGTGAATCTAAACATTGTTTAGTTCATTGAGTCCAGCATCAGACATTTACCACAACTAATTACCAGCGCACGTTGAGTAGGTACTGCTGTCATATATTAGTGGTACTGTCGTGCCACATATCAGCTTTTGTCTCAGTGGAGACGCGTGCTACGAAGCTTATGGGTGACTTGAATTTATTGATTAAAGAATTACATTTAGCTAACTTTTCCCCTAACCCTTCCACCATCAGGTAACAAGGCACTCGGCAGGTGAGCACCTCGGTGTCGACATACAATGGTACTAGTACTACCGCCGCTAGTATTGCCGTCGTTTGTAATGTAAAAGTTTTTTTTAAGCTTCATACACATTCAAAATTTACCACTTACCATCAGATGGGATAGTACTCACTAGTTGTTCGCGCCGCGATTATTCCGATGACACTTTTTTTTTATAGGATAGGGTGACAAACGAGCACACAGTCCACCTGATGGTAAGTGGTTGCTGTGGCCCATAGACATAGATGTCTATGGGCCACAGCCTAGGTAGAAAATATGTAGATGTAGATCTACATCTATCCTCGATTACGAATCAAAATGCAGATGCGTTGTCACCCGTGAGGACTAAGATGGAATGCCTCGTTTCTAGTAAAAAGGGTCTTCGGTTCTCTACACTCACGATACGAAATACAGCAGCATTAAGCTACTATTTCACGCTGGTATTCTGTGAGAGCGTGGTCCTTCCCCGGTCGAGCCGACCCATTCGTGCTACAACTATACTACTAATATAACTGCAGCATGGCTCTACCACGTATAAACTACACTACTGACATATTAGTGTTTATATTGGTCGGTACAAACGCAAAGTAGAAAGTTTTAATTAAATTTGAATTTTTTGATGTAATTTGAATTAAAATCTGAGTATGATCAGTCTTTCAAAAGATGGCCATAATTCTATTAACTAATAAAATCATAATTTCATATTACACTAAAAAACCCTTCACTGCTGGCCGTATGAGGAAGCTCAAGGTCGCTCAGCGAGCTACGGAAACTTTCGGGTTTTCTGCAAAATAAACTTAGAAATAAGGATATCCGCAGTAGAACTAGAGTGACCGATATAGCCCAACGGTTTAGTAAGCTGAAATAGTAATGGGCCGGCCATATAGCTCGAAGAACCAACAACCGATGGGCAGTAACGTCTTTATTATAAGGGCACACGGGGCCCGTGCCCAGGGCCCCTAAATTTTTAGAGTAAATGAGAGCGTTGTTAGTGACTTTCTGACTACCCTGAGCAGTGACAAGCCACAAATTGCGGGGCTAGCCAGAAAAAGAGGTATTGACATATTTCCTAGGTAGAAAATATGTAGTTCCGCGTTTCGCCGCCATCTAAACGTTTTTGCGGGCTGTACAGTCATCTTACTTATAGCCTGGATTTTTTTTAATTTTCGGCAATCTACGTATTTATAATCTATAGGATAAAATATAATTTCGTACTGTTTAGTAAAAATAACAAAAATTCAAAAAAATTAAGGGCAAATGATTTATTTAATATGACAGTTTTCAAGCACTGTCACACAACACAACATGACACAATCTGAGCTACAAATATTAAATTTTATAGCAAATAATTTTTACGATCCTTATTTTTAGACAAGTAAAGCCTAAATTTTAATGTAATAAATAAAAATAATACACGTATTCATGTTGTTATAGAATGTTTCTTTATGTGAAAGAAAGTTTAAGAAAGGAATATTAAACTTTACATTTTCCTTGGAAATTATCGTCCCCGCTATGAAATCTGTCAAATATTTTACCTCATTGTAAAGTGGCGCCGCCCTGGTGGCAGAAAATTAGTGGACGTTCTCATTAATGACATATTATTTAATTTTTACCAATTAACTATAATAAATATAAGATCATAGCAGATAAATGTTTTTATTCATTTACTTTTTTTACTTTTTAACAGAAGAGTTTTGTCCTAAACATGCATCGGGGGAATGATTATTACTAAATTTGTCTTGAGCTTATTGTAGTAGAGAAAACGAAATATTGTTACCTAGTAATTGTTATTTCATGCAACGAATACTCAAAGGTACCAAGTATTTTATTAGATTAATAAACTAAATTATAAGCTGGCGTAACCACTAGTCACACACGGTATGGTAGCCAAAAATCTTTAGACCGATATATTGTCCTGTAAACTGTTAATACACTTATTTCACATAATTGCAATCCAAAAATACATGAATATGTAAAAATTAGAACATAAAATCGGCTTACGGTTTGACTTCATCGTCAACTTCAGGCCCGAAAAATCTTCTCAACTCATAAGTAACATTCAGATGGCGTATGTCAGCTCCAAAAAGAACTTGCGCGATGTCAATTTTTGCTTCTGGTTTAGGAGTTGCTGGTGGTGGTTTGCCTAGTAGAGCATTTACTTCCATCACAGATTTATCTATTTCGTCCATCTGATATAAAATCGAATAAATTATAAAATATCTCGTTCATTATTTACCCCTGTTATTTAAATTCAAATGTCATCCATCAATCCATTAAAGTTCTCAGCTGAAGATAGACCTTCGCCATATATTGTCTCATATATACTGATATACTTTAAAAAACAACAATATTATGGTATAGAAAAATCGCTTGTATAGCGCGAATTAAGTGATAATCAGCGCCATCTGTTATTCGAAGGTAAAATCTCGCCAACTGTTGAGTTGTTATCAATAGGATGCTTCTGCGCATCTCCTGTTTGAGTTTCCCTTTTTCACCCCTTACAACACCAAAGGGATGGGGCGATGGAAATTCTTACGCGGCTACTACTCCATACGCAAACGTCATGCACATACATAAACAATTGTATGGTGTTATAAAAGATTACCTCTTCAGAACCCTCCAATTTTAACCCACCACGACTTTTAGACTTTTTATTTTTGCGCCACTTTTTCTTCTTTTTCTTAACCTTTTCTACTGCAACCTCTTCAAAATACTCCGATTCATTCAGCTCGGGTGATTCTTCTACAGATTCAGAGGCTGAACTCAGTAGTAACTAAACATATGACCAAACGTGATTAATCTTTTTATTAGGGAATCCACTATACAATGACGGTATAAATTTACGTACTAAGTTAGTTATAAATATTAAAATTCAAAGATAATTCCGGAACATCACTGTAAGTGCAGTGGCATTTCCATTTTAAAATACAATGAATAAAATGATGAAATTAAAATATCCCTGCAAGTATAAATATTTGCGCTAATTCCTTACATATAATTTTTCTATACACAAACCGAAATATAAGGATAAGTATTACACAAAATATTTAAATACTTAATATGCGTTAACCAGCACAAACACTTTATAATAAATAAAATAGACTTTAATAGCTAATGATTTTATTGAAAATAAGAAAATTAATTTAAAGTAATTATATTTGAGAGCGCGCGGAAACGTCGACCGCGGAGGTTGTGTACACTGTTCCAAAGTTGTATTTAATTCGTTTCACTCGTTTAAAGTGTATTATTAAGTGAAAAATATACACCAAACTATCAATACAAGTGTGTCTAATAAAACGTTATACAAATTTCTTCTATAACTCATACCGTTCTCGTAAAATCAGCAAATTATATCAACTAATTTCATTCAACGGACAAAGTAAGTGTTTATTGCTACTTATTTATGAATCATCGCTGCATGCCTTGCGACACCACACCTACCTACTACGACGGAGTGTTGCTTTGGCCTACAACCAATTGCGAGCGTTATCGCTTAAAACACCGGACGCATTGAGTTAGCTGTGTAGCTAAAAGTGCGCTTGCTTAAACACAACCGCAATATTTTAAATAGGCCTAGCGCGGTCACCCACTGTCGCCCAAGTGAACTAAATATTTTCTTGTGCAACTTTGTTTCCATTGCTTACCTCACGCTTGTGCTTTTATTATAAGTATTATTATAATGGCGAGTGTAAACTGTGGCGCTTGTTTAGCTAAAATGGATACCACATCTTTGCTTATGAAATGTCACAGATGCGAAACAGCTTATCATATATTGTGTGTTAATGTACCAGCACAGGAGTACAACTCCTATTCTGATGAATATTTAACAAACTGGCTTTGCCCAAGCTGTCAATGTAAGGAGCCGAAACTAGATAATTCAAACAACCCAATTTGTGCATCTCCAACAGATTTTTACAATAACGTCACAGCTCGCCCTACAAAGCGAAAGGCCACCTTATCACCTAACGTTGAGATTAACCAGGCTCCTTCGGTAACTTCTATAAATGACAACCTTGCTTCGCTTACCTCGGAAATAAAATTATTGCGAGAGGAATCTAAGAGCATTAAGGGAGTTATGGAAAATCTATCGGCTTGCCTTCTCCAGTGTACTACAAAACTGGAATCACTTGAAAATCGCATGGTTAATGCTGAAAAAACAATTCAAGAGGCTAAAACATATACATTAAAAGTGGCCGAGCTTACTGCGACTATATCCTCTCTCCAGGAACAGATTAACGCCCAGGCTCAATCCGCTATTCGAAATGAGCTAGAGATTATAGGACTCAACGAAAACCCAAACGAAAGTCTTGAGCACGTAATACTTGTTACCGCCAGCAAAATTGGGGTGAATTTGGTAACAGAGGATATCGACTGCGTTATCCGAGCAGGATTAAGACAGCAGAAGGTTCTAGCATCGGAAAATAAGCTCCCACGCCCAGTGATTATACGTTTCCTGCGCAAAAACAAACGAGAAGAATTCCTTAAAGCATCTAGGACCAGGCGTGACCTCACCACTACTGACATCGAAGTGCAGGGCCACACCAGGAAGCTATATTTCAATGAACATCTAACGAAATATAACCGGTGGTTATTTCGAGAGACACGAATACGAGCTAAAGAGGCCGGTTATAAGTATTGTTGGGTTAAGCAGGGTTACATCCACATTCGTAGGCGGGAAGGAAGTCCTGCCATCACCATACGGAACGTCTCTGATCTGGAGCGTCATCTCAGTCCTGAGGAATTGGCTGCCACAGCTCCAGTCGGTAGCAGTAATCAACAAATGCTGCATTAGCCTTTTTCATGTTATTTTTTATTTCCTATTTTTTTATTTCTACTGTATGTTTTTAATTCACAATAACACCTCACTTATAATAATGTATACATCTCAATCTTATAAATTGTATAATATTTACTTAGGATGGTATTTATCATGTAATTGTAGATTAATTAGCGTACCTTTTAACATACATAAATACAACAATTTAACACATACTCTCATACACTATAGCATTCATGAACTACTGCATCAATACAAACATCTAACTATCTTCAATATTACACTTTTAATACTTTGTTACAAAAAAACTGAACAGAACAAACAAATGCAAAAATCGTTTCACGATAAACAGGTTATTCTTCCTCGGGATAACCTTACCGTTAACAGATATTACTGTTTACTTACATCTTTTATCATGAGTGACTTTATACATGGAAATAATAATATTTATATATCCCCTTTTTACAATTTATGGCCCAGGCGGCCACCATAGACGTAGAAGAGGATATTAGTAAAACATTTACCATAACATGTCACTCAATTCCTGATCTGGAACTCTGTGCAAACACATTACAGTCTTATTCTAACTTCACGTTACTAGGCTGTAACATAAGAAGCATACATCGCAATTTTAATGACTTCTTAGTGGTTCTCTTGAGACTTGATGTAGAATTTGACGCTATTATTCTATCTGAGTGTTTTTTGAATAAAGGAGCAATCATACCACAAATTCCAGGCTACAAATCGTTTCACACTAATAAATTTATAAATAAAAATGGCGGTGTCGTTACGTACATAAAAGACGTATGGAATGTTTCTGTATCGGAACCTACATTAGATGACGCAAATTGTCTGCAAATAACAATAGAAAATACACTTACACTTCTTGGGATTTATCGATCTCCTTCGTTCAATAATCCGGACCGTTTTATACAATCACTTGATTCTACAATTCATTCTAACACAAAAGTTCCTATTCCTATTATTGTAGCTGGTGACATTAATATAAACCTGTTATCCGACGAATTAGACTCGCACCGATCTGACTATCTGTGTTTAATGGCTAGCCATGGTTTGATTCCAGCTATAACCAAACCCACGAGAAACAACTCTTGTCTGGATCACATTTTCACTAATTCTACAGAACCAGCAATCGGTATAGTCTGTGATTCTGCATTAACTGATCACAAATTAACAATGATAGGCTTAGGGTTGCCTAATAGAAAAGCGACTAAGATTAGCAGGATAAGATCTATTACTGATTTTGATGGGGTTCTTGCGTATTTGAAAAACAAAGATTGGTCGTTAATTACCAGTGCAAGTGACGTTAATGATGCGGTGAATAACATGAATGACCTGATTGAAACGGCGATACGCTTACACACTCGTCAGGTTAGGATTAGTCGCTCAAAATTCAATCTCAGGCCTTGGATAACTCCTGGCCTAATGAGATGCATGCGTTACCGTGACAAGTTACATAGTCGAGTAAAAAAGAACCCAAATGACCTCGTTCTAGAACTAACGTACAAACGCTACCGTAATTTCTGCAATGATCTATTACATAGAGTCAAAGCGAACTATGAAAATGCAGAATTCCAAAAACATCATAAGAACCCTAAAAAACTCTGGCAATGTATAAAAAACATTTGTGAGATACGTAAAATTAATACTGTTGCCAGCGAACTCACAAAGATTAAAGGTGACCCGCGAGACTCATTGAACCTATGTAATCAATACTTCTCCACAATAGGTAAAAAATTAGCTGATAAAATCCTCAATAGTTTACAAATTACAGAGGAAACTTTGGCCTCTGAATTTAATATTCAAACTTGTCATCAGGGTTCAATCTATCTCTTCCCAACCGATACAACCGAAGTCTCTACAGTAATCGAATCACTTAAGAACGATAGTGCCCCCGGTTTTGATAGTTGTACCCCTTTATTAATAAAAACTATTAAAAACATTATACTGGAGCCGTTGACGCACATAATTAATTTAAGTTTAGCAAGTGGAACTTTTCCTGAAAAATGGAAATTAGCTATTGTCAGTCCAATTTACAAAACTGGTCCCAAAGACAACCCGGATAGCTTTAGACCAATATCTCTGTTGTGTATTTTCTCAAAAATATTAGAAAAAGTGGTTAACAAACGTCTTGTTAACTACATTGAAAAACACAATATTCTTTCTCAAAGACAGTTTGGATTTAGGCGAGGTAAATCTACGGAAGATGCTGTAGTTTTGTTAACAGAGCTGATCGCGGATTATTTAGATAAAGGTGAAGGATGTATCGGCGTCTTCTTGGATCTCGCCAAAGCTTTTGATACCGTCTCTGTACCTATCCTATTGAAGAAATTGGAGACCATGGGGATTAGGGGTACGGCCTGGAACTGGTTCCATAGCTACTTAGCGAACAGGAAACAATGTGTTCAAGTACTAAATTGCAGAAGTGACGATCTTTCTGTTCAGTACGGTGTCCCACAGGGAAGTATTTTGGGACCGAGCCTGTTTGCCATCTACATGAATGACATCCTAAATTTAAATATTAATAATGCGGAACTAATCTGTTTCGCAGACGACACAGTAGTGCTCTTTCATGATCGCAAGTGGACAGACGTGTACAAATGGGCTGAACATGGTCTTGCGCGTTTAGTTCAATGGCTGGACATGAACCTCCTCACTTTGAATACCGCTAAGTCAAAATACATAGCGTTTCACAAGACTCGGGCTTCTAGACCTCCTTCATTGGTAAATTTAAAAGTTCATAGATGCAGAACACCAAGTTCTCTTTGTGGTGCCCTATCTCATACGTGCGATTGCCAATCGATAGATGCAGTGGAAACAATAAAATATTTAGGGGTGGTTGTCGACCACAATCTATCGTTCAGTCCACATATCACAAATCTGGCTGCTCGAGTTCGAAAACTTATCTATGTATTCAAACTAATACGCAACAGTGCTAACATAAATATTCTCAAAATGTTATACCATGCAATGTGCCAGTCCATTGTACAATACTGTATTACGGCATGGGGAGGTGCTGCAAAAACTCACATGATAAGAATAGAGAGATCTCAACGAGCTTTGCTCAAAACCATGCTTAAAAAACCAGTGCGATTTCCTACCAGAGAGGTATTCAACTTATCTCGTGTGCTATCTGTTCGCCAGTTGTATATATTAAAAGTAGTAAAGAGATGTCACAAAAACGTTTTAAAACTGCCTAACTACCAACAGCTTTTAAATAAAAGGGTATACAAAATCCCCGTCCCTAACATTAAAACGTTTTTTGCTTGTCACCTGCCACGTTTCCTTCATCCACGCATTTATAATAAAATATCACGATATCATAACATCAGAAACCTCAAGACCTCACAGGTCTGTCAACTTGTTAGAAAATGGCTAATGACGTTAACATATGAGGAAACTGAGGATATAGTCAAACGTTACTAGCAGAATACACACACACACGCGCACACACACGCACACACACACATGCGCGCGCACGCACGCACACATACACACATACACACACACACACACACACACACACACACACACACACACACACACACACACACACACACACACTTTCAAGTGAAATTACAATGCACTATGATAATTTCAGTATAAAAAAATATGTCTTTTATTTTGTTAGACTGTGTACGATTCTCTAGTTAACTTGCGCTCTCGGACCCCAAGATACAGGATTATCCTAGTTTGGGGTCCAACGGAAAATATTTGTATATCTCACCTTGAACATTGTTTAGATGTTTAGCTTACTGTTCTTGCTTACATTTGTTAAATCTATATGTCAATAAATTTATTATTATTATTATTATTATTATTATTTAGAGAATATAATTATTACTAATTAAAAGAAAACCCTACGGATAATTTCTTTTTCGGCTAACAGTTAAAAAAATTGGGATAAAAAGATCACATCAATATGCTATAGTTGAGTGTAGAAGATGTAGAAACGAGCTTATGGATTTAACCTGGTGTAACCTATTTGCTTTGCTACGTTGTGCAGAGCAGACGTACTACTTAAAAAATTCTGAATTAAAGCCAAACGAAATTAATAATTAGTACACCGAATAACGACTCTAAAATCTTATTAAATTACTCGACGCTGTAAATATTACCTTGCCACTACTCACTCACAGAAAAAAGAGACGGGCTCCTCGCCTCACTCGAGCAACATCAACTACAATACCCGACTACGTCATATTTCTCACAGCTTAATGGGTAAGTGATTATACCAAAGATTATTATGAGGTCGCCGACTAGAAATGGCGCACTTAATCGAAAATCACGTTTCGAATACTTAGTGCTTTTAAGTTTTAGGTGTCGTTTTTTAAGCTTGAAATAACATCTGTTTATTATTACAATGGTCAGAAAAGTCACACGAGGTAATTTGGCTTAAAAACTGAGGGCTTATGATTTTTAACGAATAAAATTAAATAAATGAATGGAGAAAATATGAAAAATCAGTATAATCCTGGAAATGGCGGAAAAGAAATTTGAATTACAGCAGATTCAATGAAAAGTTTTCACTTTCGAGCAATAAAAGTGAATTTTTGTCATCAACTCTCACGGAAAAAGCCCTTTTATTGGAATACATGTATCCCTATGATTTAGAGAGTGATTAAGTATAGGAATGCATACATTTTGAATGCCACTATTAGAAGAATTTTAGGAAAACGTAATTCTTGGGTATTGAAAAGTATCTCCGTTCTTGAGAACACAGAATATGCAAAACGTTTACCCAAATTTTGATGTAGCAGTTCGCATGACTTTATGTACACCAGCGACAAATTGTTCGGGTGAAAGAAGCTTTTTTGCTTGAAACGGTTGAAAATTTATCTAAGATCTACCATAAGCCAAAAAAGCTATTGTGTATAGAGTCAGCTACGACGAAAAAAAAATTGATGAATTTGCGATAAATATTGCGCAAAACAGTATTGCAAAACTTTCCTAACTTAATTTATTGAATTTCATCATCAGCCGGATTGTTCCCAGATAAGTAAATAGGTACAATGTTTTTAAACTGTAAGCGCAATAAAAATAATTTTTAATTACATCTACGGAATGTAAGTAGTAATAATGAAATCACACCTTACCACGCTTTATTAGTAGTACACGATTGAGTTTTATTAGCTCAGAAATATAACCAGAAAATATAGCTTGTGCAATCTTAACTAAATCTTTGGATTGTAAACATATTCTAGTAACTGACACATCTATCCCCTATTTCACAATCATACTAATTACGGCAAAAAGATGGTGTAATTAGGACGATAGTGCAAAAATCATAAAGTTACAATTTCATTGATAAAAAAAGGATACTAATATGATTGTGAACTAGCTTATCGAATTGTAGAAGTCGGTAGGGGTGGCAAAATTTGAATAGCCTTCTGGCAGCAAATTTTTGAATCCGCCACTGCCTTGATCGCGCAATTGCACATTACGTGTATATCCTTACAGGGGGTTATTAAGTACTAGTTATGATTTTTTGACATACTTCATATTACGGAAAATACGCACTTTATTTTAAATCTGATACGAGTTCTTTCTTGCTTAAAAATAAGTCAGAAGAAAGGTTTATTACAACATCAGACCACCCTCCATCCGATGTTAATAAAAATATCTTTGATTCTACTGAGGTATTTTAAGAACTAAATAAAAACCAATACTAAAATGATTGTCGTACTACTAATGAGTCGTAATCAGATCTTTTTAGAACACATTAATTAATAATGACTTTTAAAAAAAGAGGTGAAAACACTAACACAACTCAGACGAAGTTTAAAATTGGTTACACTTTCTTATTCTTGGTGCGATATCTAACTTTTTTTACCTTATATGAAATTGATAGAAATGAATCAATCAGCATCACTGTATATTAAAGGAAACAAAATAAAATCTGCGTAAACTGTTATGATCATGTTTTGATACTACTGATTAAAACTTAAGTAACTTAACTTTACCAATGAAAATATTTACAATAATTTAAGCACTTACATCACACGCACAGCTCAGAAAATATGTAATTTTTCGCCCTTGCACTAACACTTTTAATGGTAAACGTAAAAAAAATATTGATTAGTTGATTAATGCTTAATAAATCTTGGACTCCTAAATTACATAATATCTTTACTAAAATCTAGGTTATATACTAAAATCTAGATCATTTTTGAAATGGGAAGAATTGACTTTTTTAACCTGACAACCTGACTCTCTAAAATGAAGAACAACATACCATTATGGAGTCATTGCTTAATTTTTTATACAGTATTACATTTAAATACTTTTTAATTTGAATATATAAAACAATCAATTAAAAAACAATATCTAATATAAGGAGTCATCATTTTCTTTTATTCCATAATATTACATTTAAGTTGACGGTTGTATAGTGGTATACATCAAAGTTACATTTTATATAATTTCAAACATTAAAAAAACTAATATAATTGGTTAATACTTACATTAGAAAACTGAGGCTTTACAGAATTTTTGGCATAAAGAGGCTCATACTCGTCTTCGCTGGAATTATCAGGTGTTGGCAAAGTATTACCGCCGTAAATTTTTCGTATGTTGCGCAGCGACATATTTATTTAAAGCTGTAAATGACAGATTGAATAAAATACAATTATTTTTCTTACACAAATGATAAACCTAAGTGTTTTTTTTTTTTTTGTTATTGGTAATTCACCCCAGCACAATATATTTTAAACTTATCCTGGATACAGGATAAGTTTAAAATATAAATAAATAAAATTAATGAAGTAAATAGCCATATCTATCAACTGTAATACAATATGTGAGATGTTAAAATACGAATACAAGTTTTGGTTGCATTTTTAACTTAACCAATACACGCAATATTAATGTAGTAAATATAAGCTTACTTAAGATATCACAAAATGATCTAAATGAAAATACAAACTCCTCTAACACACGTAAAACTGGAGAGCTATACAGAAAACTATACTATAATATATAAACTTACTTAAGATATCACAAAATGATCTAAATTAAAATACAAACACCTCTAAAACACGTAAAACTGGAGAGGTATACAGAAAACTATTACTTCCAGGTAATACGATGTAAAGGGGCGAGACATGTAGATAGAACATTTTCTATCTACCGTCATTTTTAAAGAATTTTTTTAGAAATAAAGATAAAGTAAGGTAAGTACGTACTAAAATATATTTTTATTATTGTCTATTATACACCAAAAACTCAAAGGGCATAACACGATGCTAGGCTGGCATTAAGAAGACACATCGAAAAGGCTATTGCCGTACTGATCCGAGTGAATACATAATTTCTATAAAAACTTAAAAAAACGCCGTAATAAGGTCTAAAATTGCGTAGCGCCCGCGACGATTTAAAGCGCTTAGAAATTGTCAGAATCTTAAATTTTTTTAATGATTGATTTAAGTAATCAAAATAATGAACAAGTAAATTATGAATATTGATGTTATGAATATATTTGAGTAATTCCCAAGCATATAGATTAAGTAATTTCGTTGTAATTTCAACTATAGTGATTTTTAGAGGTTTTTTCGCAAATCCTATACCTTTAAACGAGCAATTCTTATATATAAGTCGATGGATGCAGGTGGCTCAGGACCGTGCTTTTACTTGGGGGAGGCCTATGTTCAGCAGTGGACTCGTGAAAGGCTGTAATGATAATATATATATATATATATATATATAATCGGAATCTCGGAAACGGCTCCAACGATTTTCATAAAATGTAGTGTCCAGGAGTTTCGGGGGCAATAAATCGATCTAGCTAGGATTTATTTTTATAAAATGTCTTTTTGTCCGTGTTCTACAATATAAGAAGGTAAATTTCGACGCTGTGTTAATGATCGTAATAGCTCAAGTGGATATCGAGCGGTCGCGAAATCGTAATGCCTTGGTTTGAGTCCAGTCTTCGTTCCGATTTTTTTTCCTTTTTTTTTTTCAAGTTCCCTTCTTTTGTGAGAATATCTATTATTTCGAGCCCTTTTTTAATATTTTTAAAAATACGAAAATTTTAATTAAACTAATTGGTTCTCGAGTGGCAGCCTCGTACCGGTAGGCGAAGTGTAGGGCGACTCCACGCTAGATGGAATGACGACCTGGTACGACATTCAGGAAGTCGATGGATGCAGGTGGCTCAGGACCGTGCTTTGTGGCATACCTGGGGCCTCCCCCAGGTATGCCACAAAGCACGGTCCTGAGGCCTATGTTCTGCAGTGGACTTGTGAAGGGGTGTAATGATGATGATGAATTTCACTCATGATTTTTTATTTCAATAACCAGTTCAGTTTTTTCTATTATGTCAATAAGATCAAAAAATATTATTCATCAGTATGTAATTTGTATTTAAATGTAATTTAAAAAAAAAACCGAGCAAAGCTCGGTCATCCGGGTGCTAATTATGATCGAGTCAAAATTATACAATCGTGTTTTTGAACAATCAAATTCAAGATAAAGACAAGTATTTACCTATATCAAAATTCCACTGTCGTTAGTGGTGTCATAGTCCTATACTATTCGATGAAAGGAGGTGCATTTTTTCATGGTGTCGCCTTAAGTACACAAAATGATTCATTTGGTACAGCGTGCTTGGAATTGGAGCCATCACACCTTTTTTGCTTATTTTTAAAGTGGTTCTTGACAAAATATGATTGTAACTAAACGTGCGTTTAATGTATAGATAAATAACCTATGTGTTCTATTTAAAACAGCATGGATTTTTCAAGTTGGAATTGGCACTAAAATGCTGATAATAGGATCATCCACCATATTATATCTAACAGACTTCAGTAAAAATGTCCATTATTGTATAGAAATATTGCCATCGCTACATTCAATTTAGTTAGACGTAGATTTAGTTTGCTTATAATAATAAATAATATTTTAGTATTTATACCGACAGGAGTCACTGTTAACTGTTACTAAACATACCTCAAATCTTTACAATGATATTCAGCTCTAATTAGTTGTTTCTTAAAAGAACCTGGTAGAAACAGATATTGCAAACGGTTATAATGTTGAGGCGGTGTTTCATGTTACGAATACGTATAAAACGAAATACATAAGAATATCCACTAGTTAACCCATATCTTCCCGTGAGCATCGTAAAATGCGAGAAAGGAAATTAAAACAGGAGATTGGCAGTAGCATCTTCCTCAAATCGACTCAAAATTATAAAACATTGGTTGGCAACCCGCTTACCAAGCGTGGCAATTATGCCAAAATCTCACCCCGGCTGTACACTCTCGACGAGGGTCCACGAGACCAGTCAAGGACGAGAGTGTACAGGATACTTTCGCTGAGCCTTGCCTTCCCTCGCCTCGCCTCGCGTGCTCTCGCGCTCGTGTCGTGTTATGGTACGCGAGTCAAAAGGCCTCGCCTTCCCTCGCGAGTGGACACGAGTGCGTCACTGTACACTCGCGCTTCGTTCAGTCTACAGCAAGACGTTGTCGCGTGCAGTATATTTGATTATCCTACTACCACAAACTTATCATGTGGAACCAAGAGAGCAAACCCAATTTTCTTGAATTTGTCAATGTGAACCTATTTTGTGGGAGCCCACGCATCATTACCACAAGGACAAAAATGCATCCGTCCGAAATCATGCGTCCATCTCCTCGCCGTTCCTCACCGTAACTGAATAAACGAGAATGTACAAGGTCACATTCGTGAAAGCGCTTTCTCGTGCGAGAAGCTCGCGATAGGCACGGCGAGATGCTCTCGTCGAGAGTGTACAGCCGCCATCACATATCACACATAATCTATGGGGATGCCTACGTTCAACAACAGACTTTGATAGTCTGTAATGGATGGAAATTGGAAACACCCATAACTTTGCAAGGATCATCACCCAAAATGTCATAAGAATTACCTATTTTTCTTCTTCATCATCATCAGCCTATAAAGAAATATTGTACGTATTATGCAAATAATTTTACACTTTTAATACTTACGTTGCGGGTAACATTAGTGGTGGAATAGCTGAGAAACATATTAAGATTGTCCCAATCACATATATAATAAAAAGGGTAATATAACTCTGAAATGTGATAATTTTATTACTAAATGTTGAGTTCCATAATACAACTTACATAACACTATTTATAAAACATTTTAATGTAATAAAGATGACAAACTAGCACACAGTCCACCTAAGTGTAAGTGCCATAAACATATCGTATACTTATTTATTTTATCTATCTTCGACTAAAAATCTAAATGGATGACGAGATGGTATGCCTCGTTTCCAGTAAAAAGAGTCTCCGGTTCTCTACATTCACTATACGAGATACAGCAGCAAGAAGCTGCTATTTCACGCTGGTATTTTATGAGAGCGTGGTCCTTCCCCGGTCGAACCGACCCTTTCACGCTAAAACTATGTTCTCGTAGCTGCAGTATGGCTCTACCACGGTTTGTAAAGACGATGTTTCACAGCTATTCTAGGATCCGATAGTCAAGCTAATAACAAATTGTTTATTTAAGGACTATAATGACATATAAAAGAACCCAAATCAACGGCGTAGCAAGGGGTGCTACGGTGCTATGGCGGACGACTGAGTATAGGGGACGGCATTTCAGGAAATAATGTCATACCCTACCTTAACTTTATGAATGGAGTGCAAAAATCTCATTAAAAAAAACTCTCAATACTACAGCTTTTGTTATATTTCTGAAAACAGTGACTATCTGCCTCCACGCAGTGGTCAAAGCCAATAAGGGTATAGGCTCATAAATCTTTAAATTGTTTTTTAAGAACCTCCACACTAAGGTTTTCTTCTGTATCGTGGTGGCAGTCCAGACTTGGAACAATTATTTGAAAGCCATACAAATACTTGTTCCTTGAGGGATTCAAACCCGCGGCATTTAGCACTACAACTCATTGCTAAGCTACTGCACAACGCCACGAAGTCGTCAAATTTATTGTCTTTCAAAAAAAATTAGACTGGATAGACCCCGCGCTTTGTTGCGGCGATACGCGGGAAAAATCGAATCGAATCGAATAAATTTATAATAAACAAAATGATAAGGTGTATGCCCACAGCAGTGAAGAAGCCATCACGCGTATTCCGAGGCAGTGGCGGCGCAAGACCTAAATTTTATGTGGGCAAGATACATTTTGCGAGGCCCTCTGCCTGCGTAAAACACTTGATATTATGAAATTTTTATTTTTACAAAATCAGTAAGTACCAACACCAAACAATTTCAAAGAAAAATGAAGAAATAGACATTCTGCTTTTTATCCTGCTGAATTTTTTAATTATAGCCTCATAATCTAGCTTGGATGCTATACCTGCCTCGATAGAAAAAGCTTTCAACGCTGAAAGTCTTTTCTGTGACATTGAATTCTTAAGATAATTTTTAATGAGTACTAATTCTAAGAAGCTTCCTTCAGCGGAGGCTGTACTTATCACTATTGTTAAATGACGATGTAAATGTTTTGGTGTATTTTTTTAAATTATTTTCTGTAACTTATTGGAGAAGCTGTTTCACATCTGTTACGAAGTTAGGTAAATTAGAGATCATTAATTGTAATTCTTCATATAATTCGTAAGGTTAAAAGTCACTGCTTTCA